CGTTTGTCTGCAAGTTTCAGAAAACACATTCACAGAGGCTGAAACAAACATGAGTTTATTTCTTCATGTAATACAAGTACAGGGATAGGTTTTTGCAACATGGGTCAGTTCAGGAGTGAATGAAGCAGTTTCTGGTCTCTTTGCAGTTATTACAGCTTTCCTGTCATAATCTCAATGTATATAGTTTTGTCTTTTACCTATTTCTGCATGAGAAAGCACTCTAAAAGTTTCTGGCTTAATTCAGATTTCCTCTGTGCATGCAAAGATCTCTAGGGCCATTCTATGTTTTCCCATAAATAAGAGAAAGATTTTAAAAGCTATGGTTGAAGATTGAACACAAGAGTTTAGAATTCATTGGGATCATGTCCCCTTTCCAATGTATGCTTTGCCTTGACAATAACTGTCTAATGGTTTTCTAGGTTCTGTTTTAATTCAACCTCTAAAATTTGAGAGCTATTCCATCTCTGTGAAGTCTGACTGTATGAGTATGTGAATGCATGATCTTAGGCTCAGTGTTAGAGCTATGAATCACAATATGTGAAAGAAACTTAAAAAAAAAAAAAAGAAAAAAAAAGTTAGTGGCTTAACAGCAACTTATTATTATCTTTCTAGGTCTTGGGTTGAATTTGTCCAGGCTGCTTTCCCTTGGAATCTCTCATGCAGTTGCAGAATTTAGAAGACAGATATTTCAACATAAGAAGATACCACTAAAGGAGTTGAAAGGTTTTGCTCTAGTCCTTTAATAAGTTGAAAGAGCATAACTTATGGAGTCAGACACGCTACCGTTGCGCTACGAGGTCCTAAGAGCATAACTTATGGAACGTAATTATAAAATATCTTATTTAAAATTTCTTTTCTGGAACAAGTTTTTCTCTTGCCTTTGATGAAAATTTGAGCAGGCCCCAAATTTTGTTCTTTCTTGGGTAATATGAAATTCTCTGATAAATAATTAACATTGTCAGTAATAAGTAATTGAAGCACCAAGCACCAAACACCTCTGTTGATGGAAAATTTCCCCTTTATGGTAAAAAGTTAATTTCATTCTCTCCGTTCTAATTTAGAGCTTCTAATTCTCTTTGTATATAGAGAAGAATAAGAAAAAATTTTACCTAATTGGCCTTTTCATGAGCTGGGCTCAGGCTCTCTGTGGCTGGCAGATTGGCAGATAATTTATGTTAAGTTCATCTCTAATGAAGTTTTGTTTTGTTTCATTTTTAAGAGACATAGTACCCAGGCTGGAGTTAAGAGGTATGATCATAGCTCACCACAAGCTCACACTTCCAAGCTCAAGCAATCTGTCCTCTTCAGCTAGGACTATCCAGCTTCTTTTTTTGAATTTTTTTTCAGAGATTTAGTCTCACTACATTGCTCAGGCTGATCTTGAACTCCTCGCCTCAGGGGATCCTCCCTCCTCAGCCTCCCAAAGGGCTAGGATTAACTGGTGTAAGCCTCCATGCCGGGCCTTCTAATGAGTGTTTTTAGTGGTTCTTCAAAGTGACTTGCTTGGTACATAACAGAACATCCCAGAATATAATGGCTTAAAATAACCACCATTTTTTACATCTCATGATTTTGTGTCTCGGGAACTTGGACGATAGTCACCTTGGTGACTCTTCCACTGTTATGGCATGGATCAGGCTCAATATTTATTTGGTACATCACTGGTGCCCATTCTTAGGGCTCTCACCTGGAAGCCTTGCTTTGAGAGAGGCCCCCTCCTCAGACTCCTCATCATTGGCTCCTCCCCAGGCCCCAGGCGTCCTGCATCATCTCGCTGTTGAAATCTCACTTCCCTTCTCTCAGCTCCTCATGAGCAGAACCTCTGATGGTGGAGCTGGCTCTCTCTCCCAGAACACAGGTCTGGAGGAAACATTTATGCAGCTTTGGGCCTGGTGATTTTCCCAGTGCAACCATGTCCCCCTGCCTCGCCCATCATTCACTCTCTAGAGAACTTCTCTGACTCTAGATCTTCCAGGCTGCAGTCAGGCACTGACTGCAAGAAATCATTCAGCTAGTAGGAAGAGGCAAGCACTGTCCCTTATCTGGCCTGGGAGGAAAGGAACCACAGCCTTGCTCTAAAATTTCTCTCACCCTGTGTTCTCTCCTGTTTCAGCATGCCCAGCCTCTTTTATTGAGCAAATGGTAAGCTTATCAAGAAACATGGTCCTAGCACACCAATTTTGCAGCTCTTTTATCTTGGCTTTGCTTTGAAATGACTCATCTATTGTCTTCATGCCTCTGCAAAAGCAGAGATTAGAAGATTCCCATTTGGTTTTTATTAGTATTTTTAAAGATTATGTGCATGGTTGCTTCAATAAAATTAGAACTAATAAGGGAAAATGTAGCTTTGTTATATAGCGGGGTTAATACAGGAACATTTGGGCTACATAAATGCATAATGCTTTTCATACCCACCTTAGCTAGCACTGAACACACATGGTGGGGGTGCACTGGGCATATTCCATAAATACAGTACAGGGTAAGTTTATATGTAGCCTTTGGAGCAGGACAAACCTGGGTGGGATTATTTTGTCTCACACTACTGGCTTTGCGATTCCAGATCCTGCAATTTATTTTAACTTTCTCAGCCTCACTTTTTCAGATGTAAAATTGAAAAAATATTTTATGATTCATAAGGATTACAGAAGACAGATATGCTGAGTATATAGTGCTTGATGCTTTCTCCTAAATGGGGCAATAATAATAATTAGTGATCATAATTTTTTATACATTATCAATTAGAAACTGCTTTCAAAATATTTCTCTCAAAATTAGCTTCTTTCAAATGCAGCCAAGTTATTTCCTCACATTATGCATGAAACCTCGCTGTCAGTCATTTTATCACTTTGCAGAGTTAAGTTTGTGTTGAGTTGCCCAATCTATCTATCAAACTTGTTTCATTTATACTTTTAACTGTATCATTTCAATAGTGGAAGTGTTTGAGGATAACCTGTCTTTGAGAGAAATGATGCAGCTTTTCAACATTAAAAGGTCACAAACTAGCAACATTAGTTCAACCTGTTTAATTTTCCAAACCTCACAGCCAAGAAAAAGCCCAGTTCCACGATTCGTTAGCAGGTCACAAAACACAAGGAAGCAGTAAAGACCCACACAGTGAAAGCAGCCGTGGTTTTGCCTCCAGTGTCTTCACGTCCACCCGGGAGAACACGCTGCGTTCGCGGAATGTGAAATCGCCAGAGTGTGGACAAGTCCTCCCATAGTGCAAAGTCAAATAGCCTGTGCAGGCCTCAGTTTCCTTCCCTGCAAGGGGGGGTTGGGGCTGTAGAAGACCCGTGAGTTCAAATATGGGCCATTCATTCAGTTATTACTTTTTGATTCATCTATTCACTCAGCCAAGCGAGATTGGCGCCAGCATGGCCTCGTGGAAGGGCTGGGCCCTGACACACACAGACCCGAATTTCCATTCCGGCTCTCCCACGTAGTAGCCGGCTAACTGTGACAGGGCATCACGTTTTCATTCTGAGCCTCAGTTTCCTTTTATTTCAGTTGAGACACTATTGTTCCGGTGCTGCTAAGAGCACTGTGTGATACCAGTGGTTCCCACTGGAGGCCATTCCACCTCTGGGGGGAAGTCTGGAAATTTACTGGGCATTTAGAGAGCAAGGACTGGGATCTAGTCATCCTACCACATCTAGAATCCTTCAAATCTAGAATCCACCTTTCTATACCCTAGAAAACCGTGCTGTGTCCCAGATTCCTTTTGGATGTTTCAGTTAAAATTAAGAGCCTAGCCTGAGTTTACTGCTAAGTAGGATGCTTTTATGTGATTGTGCTATGCATTGAATTTCCACAAATGGATCTACCATATAAATTAAGGAGAAAGTACACAGTCCTTTGGTACTTTACTGAGAGTTGTTCGTCATTTTGGAAAAGTGTGCTGCCATCAAGAATTTTATTGCTGGTTTTTGAGTCCTCAGTAAAGCACATTTTATCACTCTGTAGCTGTCCTGTTTAAAGTGACTTTACACATTTATTAGCATTTATTTTAGCATTTATTTTAAAATGTTAACTATAAGGCTAAATTGCCAAACAATGTTCAGTTAGATATTTAATATTGATTTTATTCTAATATTTATTCTGCCAAAACAGAGCAAAAACATAAATTAGGCAAACATTGTCCAAAAGAACATACCAATAGAGAGAGATGCCAAGTACATATTGTACCTCCAAGGAATAAGGAAATGGTTGTAAAAGAATAATAATGTAACTGAAATATTGATGGCATTTTTGGATCAGAAGGAAAATTTATCACTGCTTCTTAAATAAAATCATTATAAAAACTAATGTAAAATATGGCAAACTACACAATACTAGAGAAAATTATCTTCCTACCTGTATGAGTGATTATTAATACTAAAGTGGAAAGAAATTCAAGAAAAGTATCTATTTTTTCTTTTTCACCAAGTAATTTCCATGTTGCAGAAGAATTTTGAGGTGGGGGAAGATTTCAGGTACAACTGTATCATGCACTGCAGTTCAGTAAATATTCATTGTAGGTGAAGAAACGTCTCAGGTGATGATGAAGATTTCCTGTTTGCATCTATTAAATTTGTAAGAAACGAAGAGTCATAGAGCAAATGTTAGTTTCAAAATGACTGACAGTGGATACGAATAAACTTCCTTACACGAAACCCTTAACGTTCCTAGAAAGCAGGTTGTTTCCCAGAGCCTTCGCTGGGCCGCGGAGGGAGCCGCGGCTGCGCTAGTCAGTGCGCAGGTGCAGGCGCAGGCGCAGGCAGGCGCAGGCGCAGGCGCAGGCAGGCGCAGGCGCAGGCGCAGGCAGGCGCAGGCGCAGGCGCAGGCAGGCGCAGGCGCAGGCCAGGCGCCGCCCCAACCACACACACCGCAAGAGGATAGAGATAGAGAGCGCGAGAGAGAAAGAGAGTGCTTCAGCAATTGCTTGTCTCATGCTCCACACGGGTGCCACGGTCACGGGAAAGGTCACACACCGCAGTGGTGCTGTTACTGCTCCTGGCGACATGGGCAGTGCTTCCCTGGATTATAGATTATTCTGTGAACTGTGCAGTGACTGTGAAGAAGTGTCTGTATGTCTTGTTCTGAACAACAAAAGAAGTAGCTCTGCTACGGAGAATGTTTTTTAAAAGTTGTTACTTTTCGATGCTATTAAATAACTTTTAGATTTATTCACTGAAAAAGTATATGCTGAAACTGAAATATTAAATATGGGATATATTTTTCAGACTTATTTAAAATGCTAAATGGATCCTTTCTAAGTTGTAATGATATTAAATAATTGAAAAGGGGTTATCAATAACTATATTATATATAACCTCACTGTCTGAAACTTGGATACGTATGCACATACAGGTTCTAGTTTTGAAATATATTGCTCACAATTAGATACTATTTGAAATGTATAAAAAATTGATTTAAAGATGTCTGTCAACTTGATATACCAGATCTGGTTACTAATCCATTTAAAGTGGTGGAAGAATATGTTAACAATTTGCAGGAAGTTAAATCAGTGACTTTGAGACCAAAATATCTTTTAACTGGTATAGTTAGAAAAGATTTAACACTTAAGATTTTCACACCCACTCATTTGGAATGAAGCTAAATTACTTATTTAGCCCCATTTTCCACTCTGTATTTTGTTAAAGATAGTTTCAGTGTAATAGGGTGGTTACTAAAAAAAAGCAGTAGAACCAATTCCAAAATCTAAGAGGAGATCTGAGAGTCCCTTTAAGAGATGTAGGGTAAATATTACCAAGTTACTGGAAACACATGAAACATGGGGATCTCAGTGGATTTCATTGATGCACCTTGCTTTAAAAGTATTTCACATTATTTTTTATTTTTTGTGCATGCAATACACACACACACACAGAGTTGTATAGCACAATCACAGGAAATGTGTGTTGTGAAAAGTGCATATTGCATCAAGTTAGGGCTTGCACTGTTTCTCAGTCCTCTGACCTGTCCTCCAGGCCTTCCATATTATCTCTTCATATACCCTTTGTTGACTATTCATTTTTCCTATACTCCCTGTCTCTGACTGAGGGACGTGGTCCCCATAGTGTGAACACAAAGCAGGATAAATAAAGAAATACACTTAGGTTATCTTAGTTGAACACCAAAGACAAACAGCAAGTCTTGAAGTATAACAATACCTTTCAAATGGAGAAACAAAGGTAAGAATTACAGCAGAGTTCTCATCAAGGACTATGCAAGCAAGAATAGAGTAGACTGAACTACATGAAGTTTTCAAATTTTCCTTCAACAGCCTAGAATTCTATATTTAGAAAACATTTCCTTCCAATGGAAGGAGAGAGTGCCATCAGTAATATGGTGGGGGAAGAGGTCCCAGGTCTTAGTTCCCTCACAGAAACACCAACTTAGTCAGCACCCATAGATGGGAGTGCCTTTGTGAGAATCTGGGGGCTCAGGCATGGGGTAGCAGTATCAAAGTGGAGCACAAAAGCTGCATCAATAAGGGTAAGAGAGACAGGTTTTTGTTTTTGTTTTGAGACAGAGTCTTGTTTTGTTACCCTGGGTAGAGTGTAGTGGCTTCATCAGAGCTCACTGCAACCTCAAATTCCTCCTAGGCTCAAGCAATCCTATTGCCTCAGCCTCCTGAGTAGATGGGACTACAGACAAGCACCACCACACGGGCTAATTTTTGTATTTTTTGTAGAGAGAAGGATCTTACTTTTGATCAGGCTAGTCTCAAAACTCCTGAGTTCAAGCAATCCTCCTGCCTCAGCCTCTCAGAGTGCCAGGATTACAAGCATGAGCCTCTCTGTGCCTGGCCAAGAGGAACAGTTTACTCTGCCTGTACTGCCTCTCCCCCAGGATGATACAGCCCTTTTGGCCTTTGATTTGTCAAACAGGGGAAAGAGATACAGAGGCTGACATTCAATGTTCCCAGCATTTTGTGGCACTAACTCAGAGGCCTACTTCTGTCTTGCCTCATTTGGAACACTTGGGGAATTGGTGTGGCCAGACTACCTGGGAACAGCCAGTAATGTGGACAAGGGACAGGGGTTCACAGTGATGGTGTGCAGATCTTAGCAGTAGCTCCACAACTCCATCAGTGACATCACCGAATAAAGGCCCACTCTAAGGGCCTTGCTCAGATGGAGGAAACATATAAACCAACTTCACCTGACCATGGAGCTCCTGTAACTGGCCCTATCCAATGGCAGAATCCAGTAAGTGTACCCAGTCAGCCAGAGGGTCCAGACAGCATACTTTGGAAAAACTGCAGAGCCTAGCCACAAATCCTACCCTGACCAGGAGCCCAAACAGCAGCTCCACCAAGATCAAACCACCAGCATCATGCCCCACCCACCACAGACACTGCCATCTCACTTTCACAGAACAAAGGCTGGACTAATTGGTGAAGGCTTTTCCCTGCTGAAGCCAATCTTTAAACACTGGAGGAAGTGACTACTTTCTCAAATATGAGACACCAATGAAAGGATACAAAGGTCAGGAAGAATCAGGGAAACTTAAGATCACCCAAAGAAACTAATAAACTTTCATTATGCATTGGAGAACTATAAGCTGCCTCAGCAAGAATTCAAAATACTTATTTTAAATAAACTCAGTGAACTTCAAGAGATAACAGGCACAAAACCAAACAATATCGAGAAAACAATATATAAACAAAATCGGATGTTCAACAGTATAAAATAAACAAATAAAAAAACCCAGACATCCGAGAGCTGAAAAATACAATGACTGAATTGAAAAATATGATATCAATCTTCAACAGCAGACTCAATCAAACAAAAGAAACAGTGAATTTAAAGACAAGTCATTTGAAATTATCCAATCAAAGAAGCATAGAGAATCAAAGTGAAGAAAGCCTAGGTGAATATGGGACACCATCAAGTGAAACCACATGAAACCTCTACATATTATGAGATTTTCAGAAGAAAAAGGAAAGAATAAAGACGCAGAAAGTCTATTTAAAGAAATAATGACTGGAAACTTCCCAAAACTGGGGAGGGAAATGGATATCCAGATTCATGAAACACAAAAATGTCTATGTACCTGAAACCTGAATAGGCCTACACCAAGACCCATTGTAATTAATTTGTCAAAAGTCTAAGACAAAGAGAAATTTTGAAAGCAGGAAGAGGAATGCAACTGGACACACATAAGAGAACTTACATAAAACTATCTATGGATGTCTCAACACAAACCTTGAAAGCCAGGAAGAAGTGGAATAATAAATTCAAGTACTTACAGAAAAAAAACCTGGCAACCAAAAATACTGTACCTGTGCAAAATAATCCTTCCAAAATAAATGAGTGGTAAAATCTGTGCCAGATAACCAAAAACTTAGGGAATTGGTTACCAGTAGACCTGCTTTCCAAAAAGTGCTAAAGGGAGCTCTTCTAATTGAAATTTAAAAAAATATTAAATAACAACACAAAAGCTTATTAGGACATAAATTTCACTGGTAAAGATAAATATGTAGACAAACACAGAATATCATAATAATTTAATTGCTGTTCATAAATCACTTTTAACACTATAACAGTTAAAAGAAAAAAAGTATTAAGAATAACTGTAACCCCCCCAAACTTCTTCATGAATACACAATATAAAAAGAAAGAAAATCTGACATCAATAATATAAGTATGGGGGAGGGAGTAAAACTGTGTAGTTTTTGTATGACATTGAGGGTAAGTTTTTATCAGCTTCAAAGAGACTGTTATAACTATATGAGAAAAAAAGCCTGTAGTAGACACACAAACATAAAGAGAAAAGAATCAAAGCATAGCACTAAAACGTGCATTAAACCACAAGGAAAGACAGCGAGAGAAAAAGAGAGGAATAAGAGAACTAAAAACCAGATTAAAAAAAACAATTAACAAATGACAATAGTAAGTCCTCACCTATCAATAATCGCTGTACATGTAGATGGATTAAACTCACAAGTCAAAAGATCTGGAGTGTCTGACTGCATAAAAAAAGCAAAACTCAACTGTACGCAGTCTACAAGAGACTCACTTTAGATTTAAGGACCCACAAAACCTTAAGTGAAGGGATAGAAAAATATAACCCATGCAAATAGTAACCAATAGAGAACAGACATTGCTATACTAATAGCAGACAAAATAGGCTTTACATCAAAAGTGCCATAAGAAACAGAAAAGATCATTACACAAACATAAAAGGATCAATTCAACAGGAAGATATAACAGTTGTAAATATATACATATCGAAAATCAATGTACCAAAATATATAAAGCAAACATTGACAGATATGAAGGGTGAAGTAGACAGTAGTACAATAAAAGTAGAAGACTTCAATACCCTACTTTTAATAATGGATCTAACATTCAGACAGACATTTAATAAGGAAACAGCAGACTTGAAAAATACTATAAGCCATATGGATCTAAAAGACAGAACATCCACCCAACAGCAGCAGAATACACATTCTTTTCAAGTGAACACAGAACATTATCTAGGATAAATTGCATGCTAGGTCACAAAATAAATCTTAAGAAGATTGAAATCATTCTAAGTATTTTTTATGAGTGCAATGGAATAAAAATATAAAACAATAGCAAAAGGGAATCAGGAAAAATCACAAACACATGGAAATTAAACAACATGCTCTTAAGCAATCATTGGGTCAAAGAAGAATTAAATTGGTGGCAGATGGTAGGTGTCAGATTTCTTATGTTAGAGTAGGAAGTTACAGACAAGCAAAGAGAGGAGGCTAGAATGTGATCATGCATTAGAGTTGGGGACATCAATATGAATTCAGAGTTAGCTTAATATACAAACAATGGATACAGATAGAAACATATATACATGCATGTACATACATTGGCACACATTGCATATACACACTCCTCCTTGCTCTGTCAACTGAGAATGACCAGAAGCAATGACATTTCTGTAGCAATTTAGAAACCATTCCCCAGGGAAGGGGACCAGAACTCCTTGGAGAAATTGCTGACTCAAAGGCTGAGAAAGGGAGTATATAAGATGTTCCTAGAGCATCTCATGGTGCCAAAAAGTAAGGAAATATTCCCCTGAATTCCAACAGTGGGTCATGTCTAAGAGACACAGGCACAAACTGAAAGAATTTCCAATGGTCAAAAGTGGAAAATTTTGATCAATAATATAAATAATGTATTAATTATAACCCAAGGTTTAAAATAAATATCTATGGGTCAATACTGTACTTAATTAATTAATTATATATCTCAATGATTAAATAAATAAATGGAGAAAAGAGATTCTGTACTAGAAAAAATATTCTGCACTATTCCCTAATGCAGAATAAATGCAAATTATTTGTGTAGCTATCTCACTTTCAAGGAGGTGGAGCTCCCCACCCCCTATGTATAGGCTGTAACATGGTGACTTCTTTTCCAAAGAGTACTGTGGAAAGTGGGAGAAAAGTCACATCACAGTGGAGAAAGCTGACAAATCCTACTTGAGCCAGGTGATCAAGGTCAACATCAACAGCAGAAGTCATGTTGACAGTAGGTACCCTTGGTAGGATGTGTTGAGAATGGCACTTTGCTTCTGTGGTTTTCCTTCCAAAGATTAAAAACACCAGTCTAATCATGAGAAAAACTTTAGACAAACTATAATTGAGGTACATTTTACAAAATATCTGACCATTACTTCTGAAAACTGCCAAGGTCATCAAAACCAGAAAAAGTCTAAAAATTATCATAGCCAAGAGGGGCCTAAGGAGACATGATGACTAAAGGTAATGTACATTTTTGGTTGAAAATCTGGAACAGTAAAAAGGACATTAGATTTTTAAAAAATCTGAATATAGGGCCAAGCAACGTATACCTTCCATTATTGACTTATGACCTTGTGTGTAATTCTTGTCTCCATGAATGTATAAAACCAAACTGCAACCTGCTTACTGTGAGCACATTTTCTCAGCACCTCTTGGAAACATTGCTCAGACCGTCAGACATGCACACTCAGGTCAGAATAAAGCTCCTTAAATTAAAAAGAAATCTGAATATAGTATGTACTTTAGTTAATAATATCATTTCATTAATTGTGATAGATCCTTTCTAATGGAATATGTCAACAACATGTGAAACTGGGTGTGGGGTATGTGGAAATTCTCTTTATATCTGTGATGATTACATTTATGTGTCAACTAGGCTAGGGTTAGTTATGCAATAAAACACTAATCTAGGTGTTTCTGTAAAGGTATTTTAGACATGTGGTCAACATCTACAATCAGTTGACTTTAAGTAAAGAGATTATTCTCTACTATGTGGATAGGCATCATTCAATCAGTTGGAAGGCCTTAAAAGCAAAACTGACTTTTCCCTGAAGAAATCTGCCTCACGACTGAAGCATCAACTGCTACGCAGGAGTTTCCACCCTCCTTACTATCCAGATTGTGGACATGCCAGCCCCCACAATCAGGTGAGCCAATGCCTTGAAATAAATCTTTTTATAGACAGACAGGTAGATGATGACAGGTGAGAGAGAGAGAGAGAAAGAAAGAAAGAGACAGAGAGACAGATATGATTCTATTTTTCTGGAGAGCCCTGCCTGATACATTGTCTTCACCACCTTTCCCTAAATGTCAAACTATTGTAAAATAAAAAGTTTACTTTAAATATCTATCATTACAAATTATATTTTTAAAAATCTTATTGATTACCATTGGTAATTATCAAGTTACTAACTCATTGTTCTAAACATTTAAAAATAATTGGAAACATTTATTTTATTTTTCAAAGTAGCCAACTATTACTGAATAAAAGGGTTTATTTGTACAAATTTCAAGTAATAAATACAGAAGTAAAAATAAAATTATAAAATCAGCAGTTTGCAAGGACTGATTGATATGAAATTCATATTGGAAAGATCAGACTGACACCATCTAAATGTCTGGCATCATCTTAGCATCACTAGAAGTGAGACAGTAAAACATTAAAAAATTAAAAATTAAAAAATTAGGTCCCAGGCTGGCGGGCGTCGGGGCCTGAGCGGCTCTGTCCGCTCTGAGGAGGGTTCGCGACCACTCGCCTCTTCGCTGTCCCCGCCGCCACCGTCTGCACTCCGTGCTCTAGGGAGGAAGAGAAGATGGCGGCCGGAACAGCGCCACCGCCGGTGTCTGCCGGGCCCTTTTCATCGGGTATTGCATTTACTTCGACCGCAAGGGACGGAGTGACCCCAACTTCAAGAACAGGCTTCGAGAGCGAAGAAAGAAACAGAAGCTTGCCAAGGAGACAGCTGGACTTTCCAAGTTACCAGATCTTAAAGATGCTGAGGCTGTTCAGAAATTCTTCCTTGAAGAAATACAGCTTGGTGAAGAGTCACTAGCTCAAGGTGAATGTGAGAAGGGTGTGGACCGTCCCACGAATGCAATTGCTGTGTGTGGACAGCCACAGCAGTTGCTACAGGTGTTACAGCAAACTCTTCCACCACCAGTGTTCCAGATGCTTCTGACTAAGCTCCCGACAATTAGTCAGAGAATTGTAAGCGCTCAGAGCTTGGCTGAAGATGATGTGGAATGAGAAACAAATGTCAACGTAATAAAATCTCAGTTAAAAATACTTTAAAAATTCTTAACTCGGAAGTTGAGCAGCTCTGGGGGAATAAGGGCAAATATGCTTATGACAGACTATCCTACACTGAAATCTACCAAAGTTCATGTTTACTCTGTGTAGATCCATTTGTCACTTTTATTTATTTTTCCCAGTGAAAAGTGTATTTTGATAGAGAGCTTTTCATTTTATAAATACACTACGAGTTACTGAAATACCATGGATTTTGTTTATTTCTTAAACATGCAATTAAAATGTATATGTAACAGAGCATTATTAAAAATACCCAGTGCTCAGTTTTGAAAGAGGCAAAAAAAAAAGTGTAAGAGAAAGCTGAAGAATGCACATTTTTAAAGCTTGTACATTTTGCTATAAACCAGAAAGTTACACAGAGACTTGTTTTATGGAAACTGAGCATTAAAATTTTTGAGTGATCTTTTCTTTCCATTTAATCTCTTAAACATAAATTTGTAAGGTGTGTTGCTGTGCTGTATTAACAACTTCACCCCATTCCCCTGCCCCCATATATCAGTCTTGCAATGCTTTGTTTAAATCAGTGGTCTTAATGTGTTCTGGGTATTTATCTCCTTGTATTTTAAATATATGTAGTTGCAAATGGCACCAGGAATTAGATCTATGTACGACCCCCTTCTGGCCATGTGGACTTCACCAGTTCACATCTGCTCACTTTCCTCACTGTATTAAATGAGGGAATCAGGCTGCTAATCTCTGAGGCATACCTTTTATCTTCTCGTTTTGGCCGAGATGTTTAGCATCTTTAACTCCACCTTTCCCTGCTTCCCCTGAGGAGTGTGTGTGGGCAGCTAGGCCTTGCATATTTTTATTTTCTGAATTTTGCATGCTTGCCTGACTTAGTAGTTCTGAATTAATCTCTTTTTTAACGGTATAACTATATTGTTGATTTTTGCTGAAATTATGTGTTTCTGTCACTACCCCGTAAATTAATCTTTAACCTTTAAGGTAACTGGGATGATCTTGTAAAAATGTTTCTTTCCTTTTATCTTCAACGTACTTCCTTAATCCTATATCAACTTGATTAATATATCTTATTAAACGACCAGAATGAGGTGTAACCTTGTGACTGAAGACTCGAAAAGAATGGAGCCATCTGCAGTCTCAGATTCAGTTTCAGAACTGAGGGTGAGGATCCTTGGTACTTAGGCATCTGTTGAAGTGAGCAGCATTTCTCATCGTACAGATTGCCTTTCTTCTGACTAATAATCTGGAGAGATCCCAAAGACTTCCTGTATACTAGGCATTTTATTTTGGTTTACAGATTTTTCTTAACCATTATTAATACCTTGGGTTTCTTGTGGCGTAGTGGAAAGAGTTAGGAATACAGTTCTAGTTTCTGCTTCTGGTTAGCAGTGCACAGCCTTGGGCAAGTCGTCTAAACATCTCTGAACTAAAATAAGAGCATTAGATTAGGTGGCACACATTTGAGGACTCTTTCAAGTTTTGTGATCCTGAAGGCTTAAACAGTACTTTTTTGAAGGTGACACGCAATATGCTTTGGTGGGGCATTGGGGGAGTGACCTGTACAAACATGCGAGTTAATCAGTTTTACTAAGATCCCAAATCCAAAGCCATGCATGGTGGTTGATCAGTAACCAGGCAGCTAAGAAACGGTCTTCTGCACTAGCCCAGACAGATAGATAGCGGAGTAGTCAGAGGGAGAAGAGAGGTGGGAAAGGGAGCAAGGGGCCCGAAGAAATGAGGGCTGGCTGCAGGAGTGAGGGCAGGCAGCTTCGCGTTGGGGGTGGTAGGAAGACTGCCCTGGAGAGCTGCAGTGTGAGCTGGGGATCGCTAGGCTCCCAGAAAATAATTGACTTTGGTCTAATGCTTGTGAAGGCAGCTGGTATATCTTCATTTTGCAACTGATTAAGCCAAGTACATTTTCTTAGTTAAATGATAGCTTTAGTGTGTTAAAATTAGGTACCACTTTTGAAAGCTAGCTGTGTTAAAAAAAAAAAAATCAGCTGATTCTTTCCCCAAGGAATGTAATTACTGAACACTATCTGTTGCCATCTTAAGTATTACAAGATGGTAGAACCAGGTAATTTTGGTGATGCTGGCCATATGGTGCTCAGTAGATGAGAATGAAAAAACTCTGTATTTAAGTGGAGTAATAGCTGAGTGTTCCCATGAGCTAATGTTGCACACTTATAAAAACCAAAAACTTTGGAAATGGAAAATATGTATTAGTGCACATTGACATGCTTCTTTGGGCAGTGATCTATTGTTTCCACAATTTGTACTTAAAGTGAAAAAGCATTTAAAACATAGACTTAACTGGCCATAGCAATGCTGTTAAAAGATAACTAGAACTTATGTTCACATTTAATTTATGTAAAGTGTGTAAAATCTAGCATAGTACGCGTAGTGGGCAGTCAGTACATGTTTGATTCTTCTTACCCTTCAGTAAGTTCGATATTTTACCATCTTCCTGCCTGCCTTTCCAACCTTGTTGAGTCAACCTGTGGACTAGAGTGTTAATGAAATGTTAATGCAGAAGAGATTATGAGCAAATTAATATCATGCAGATAAAGTACAAAATCTTTCTTGTAACGTAAAAAATGCAGTTTTATTATTGCTTGTGCCTCAACTGTTTAAGTGGATATTAAAGGGCTTGGAGAAAAAAAAATTAAAAAATTAAATTCATAACATAGGAAGTTCATAACTTCACTTATGAAGTACTGTTAAAAAATTAAACTTGAACTAATATCTCTGCATCTCACTATGTGCATAAAGGACACTCATTGAGAAAAAGGACCGTGCTAAATGGTACCATGAAGAATCAATGAGCCAAATACAGCATGAGAGCATTCCATGGGATAAATGATTCACATTCTCCTCTGACTCCCCCCACAAAGAAAAAAAAATCTGAGCAGGTATAAGAACCAAATACAATTTATGGATATTTTTTGAATTCTAATTTAAATAATTTTATCATGAAAAGATATTTTTAAGATAATCAGGGAAATTTGAGCATGAACTATATAGTAGATAACGTAGAGGAATATTTTAATTGTATTAGGTGTGATAACAGCATGGTGAAGATCTAAAAAGAAAGCATATGTTAACAGTGCATGGTGAAATATTTATAGGTGAAATGGTATGATGCCTGAGATTTGCTCTGAAATATTCCAAAGAGTCCCAAAATAGAACTGGGGAGATGAGTGAAACGAAACCATTATGAGTTGGTAATTGCTCAAGATGGATGATAGCTACAAGGGGGTTATGATAACATAATATCTGCTTTTGGTATGTTTAAAATTTTCCACAAATAAAAAGTTTAAAAATAGTGTCTAAAAGTGTTTGCATATTGAAAATGTTATCTTTTCTAGAAAAACAAAATTGAATACATTCTTGGTATTTATGTTACTGGTGAGTGATTGTCCTTGGTCCTTGTATTTGGAGACAAAGAATCGAAACCAAACACCAAAGCAGCAGAGCAGAGTGAAAAGGTTCATTAAGCAGGTATACCTCCAGATGTGGAGGGGGGTGTCAAGAAAGATTAGCATGCAATAGTACCCACCAGAAGGGGGTGGGAGTGGGCACACATCCAAGCCAACAGTGGCCCTTAGATCTCTTCCTGTTTCCCTTTTCTTTCTTGTGACTTCCTCATTCTTTTGTTGCCATCTCTCTGGCAACAGAGAAAAAGGAAAGAAAATTATTGGTTGATAGATTTTCATCTTTCAAAAATGATTATTCCAGTAATATGTCATATCTATTTTAAAATCTTTCATAATCATTATTTTGCCTAGAAGCATCCTAATAAAAGACTCTCACAAACTATAATTGGATTATTTTGTTAACGCTTTATACTGTAGAACAAGCACCTAGTTTGATGCTACGGACAACAATATTGTGTACCACGTCACTATCAAGGTTGTAGAAATATCTTCAAACGTCAAGAAAGTAGATTTCACAACTTTGACACTGATCCGAATGGAAATATGGGTCCTGGAACTTAATACAGGTGTGTAAGGACCAAGACCCTCGCTGTTTGGTGGGAAGGACACACAGCCAGCATGATGGGAAGACGCACACCCATCTATGCTCAGAGAGTCAACGCACCAGCAAGCCCTCTGCCAGTGGGGACCCCCTGAGAATTCACGTGACAGAGAAACACAGGAAAAATAGGGTTTCTACAGGAGCAAAAGATACTGGTTAATTTGTTGTCCATATGGATTAATTAAATACATGACATTTTCAAAAGTAATTTATTTATTTTAATTTTTGCCTTGAATTTTAGTATTGGGGTTTAAATATATTTCAGTATAAAACATGATCCTTAATGTTTCTGCTTTTTGAATTTACTGCAACTTTCTTTGTTATGGTGTTTCTTCAACATAACTTTAAACATTATACTTCACCTTTTTAGTGATTAATTAATTTATTGTTTGACAAGGATTTCCTCCTTGATTGCACTTTAGGTGGGTCCTCTGATCCTCTTTAAACTAGGCCTCATTCTTGGCGCCATCTGTGGCCTTCTGAGTCCCGCTTAGCAAAGACTTCGCCAAGACAGATTTGTTGCCGCCTAAGTGGGTTGTATTGCATCCTCTGACGGGAGAATGATACATGTATGTCCTCCCATGCAGAAGAGCAGAGGAGAGAGAACCCACTCCCGCAATCTCTTTTTTACAGTGGCATCAATCCACTCATGAGGGTAGAACTCTCATGACTCAAATGCCTGTTATATAGCCGAGATTCACAGGGCCATGGGACAGAGAGACAGAGTCACCGAGGCTGTAATTATCAAAAGGAGTTTTATTGTTTAGCTCGAGCTAGGGTCTGAGCCCCCAGAGTGCCAGCGCAGTGGCCTCTTCTCCGGGCAGCGACCCCCCCTTGCGTGCTAGTGACCCTTTTATACCTAAGCTGTTTACATGCTGGTCATGCCTCCGCCCCCACAGTGATTCTTACTTCATCCTGCCCCTGATAGGCTCTAACCTGTTCCAGGTCCTCGCTGAGAGACTCTGGTTTCTTTGTTCTTTGTCTTTCTCCTCTGCATCCCATAATGTACCCACAATGCCTTGCGGTTAAGCAAACAAGCTGTAACAGAAGCTGGAAGGTGTCCATTGTCCTCATAGCCCAGTATCTCACACCTCCATTAGACCCCACCTCCCAGCACTGTTGTATTGGGGATTAAATTTTCAACACATAAGTTTTCCAGGGGAAAAACATTAAAAAACAAAGATATATATTGTATACATGTATATATGGGGGGGAGAGATTGAGAGAAAGGGATAGTGTTTTATTTTAGGAATTAGGTCATAGGACCGTGAAGGCTGAGAGGTGCTCTCAACAGAAAAAAGCCAAACTCTGTAAAATAATTTTAAAGAGATTTATTCTGAGCCAAATTTGAGGACCATGACCTGGAGCCACTGCCAAGAGGCCTTGGGCAAGTGGACTCGCTGTGGCTGGGCTACAGTTTGGTTTTATAGATTTCAGGGAGACAGGGGTTACAGGTAAAGTCATAAATCAATACGTGGGAGGCATACCTTGGTTTGGCCTGAAAAGGTGGGCCATCTCAAAGCGGGGGCTTACAGGTTATAGGTGAGTTTAAAGATTCTTTGGCTGGCAATTGGTTAAAGACATGAAGCTTTGTCTAAAGGCTTGGAATGTTTTAACATAAGGAGCTGTTCTCAGAGATAAGCCACTGGACGTAGATTCTGTGTAAATTGAGGCCCTGTGAGCTTGCATTGCGTACCCTTAGGCCTGTTAATGGGTTACAAAGGAAGTCTCCAAGAAGGGAGGGGGCATGATGAGGAATGTCTGACCTCCCTCCTCCAGGCAGAAAATTTAGTTTTAGGATATTCCTTTGGCCACAAGAGGTCCATTCAGTCAGCTGGTGGGGGGTGAGCCTTAAAATTTTATTTTAATTCACAGTACCATGACCTGCCGCCTGCAGGCAGGAGCAGCTCGGCAGCCAGTGCTGTGCCTTAGTCTGAATTTGGAGGCCTTAGAAGCAGAGGGGCTGATGATGTAGATCTCAGTCTGAGGACAAGCTAAGGGGAGAGTAGATGTCTTATCGTAAGCAGTGGCAGGATACCAAAATATTTTACACCAAAGTATATTGCTCTGACGTATTTTGAGATGGCTTCTGGGGAGCAGCAAACAGAAGTGGGCTGCAAGGCTGCCTTTTGGGGGAGATTTGCACCTGCAGGTCTATGAAGCATCTGCATTAAGGCAGCCAGCCCTTCCCTTGTCTGCATCCCTTGTCTGAGCTGACACCCTGAAAATCTGAAAGAAACACCCACCATCTGTTGGCTCTAAGGGCTGCTACCTGTGGGGTTTCATCTACATAACAAGGACCACCCTTGCTAGCCAGGCCTCTGCCCTTCTCCCTCCCCTAACCTGTCTGGACACTAAAACCTGATTTACCCCCATAACCTGTTTTTGGCCACTTGCTCTAAGCTTGCATTCTTTCTGCAACCTCAGGATGGTCTATAAGCTTCTGCTCCGCACTGGGGCATTGGATCTTCATTCTGAAGGCTCCCTTGTATACATGTAAGGGCCTGGTTGCAGCCCAAAGCTGCTGGCTCACTTGTGCGAGCCCGGATAACAGAAAATTGGCCCAGGGGAGGAGTAATCGGCTTCTGGAAACTGCTAGCTTGGGGCCCAAAGGTAGAGCTATCGGCTAAACGCATATTTCTGCTTCTGAGAATCGCTTGGTTGCAGCTAGACGCATAGGTACGGTGCCAGATAAGGGAGAAAGCCCCCTTTGCCGCTGGGGGCTAACAGTCCACCAATCATTTTAAAGACTAACACGTGCAATCAGCTTGTGCAGCGTGGGTGTTCAAGAGGGAGGGGGGATAAAAGGGGAGCCCCAGCTTTGGTCAGGGTCCTTGCCTGTAAGAGCGACCACTGCGCTGGCACTCTAGGGCCTGGACCCTGGCTAGCCAGAAAATAAAGCTCCTCTTGAGTGATTGCATCCTTGGTGTCTTTGTTCGTCTGCCTGGCGGGGTGCGGGAAGCCAGTCCCTAATATTTGGGGGCTCGTCCGG